TAATAATGGTCCAATTGCTCTATCTAGATGATGCTGGAATTCTTCATCTGCATGCTAAGAACTGAGTGTTTGTCCATAGAGGCTGTCTATCATCTCGTCGCTAAATGGAAGATGCTGGTGATCTATAGGTGAGAAATATACATTTGTTCCCTAGTATTTTATCACAAGTGTGAGCCGGCTACTAGTATTCCGAGAAACAGTTTATATAAATAACCAACACTCAGCAGCCATAGAACCGGAAAAGCGAAGACTGCCAGCAGTATGTGATACTACTAATAGACCAGGACCCCTAACGCCCCCTTCTTGAGTACTAAGTAATGTGCTTGGAGATGAATAGTAAATCGCAGGGCAGTTCTTATGCTTTGATTATTCGAAAGGTGCCGTTCTACTAGTTTAGAAGGCCCCTAGTAATACTAGGGCTGGATCTGCCATATATCCCAGCTTGTATCACCAACTCTAACTTAATATGAGTTTCCCCACAACCCAAATTGCAGGGAAATAGCCTTAGCACTCAATGCATACCGCATCGTAAGTTTAGAGCGGATTTTACCCATGTTCCTGAACCTCATGAAATCTGTAATTGGTGATATCTAAACCATCTGCTAATATGCAATGAAAAACCCAGAGATGCGCCGCGAACCAATATATGTACCAAGAAAGGTAAGACCAAAGCTACACGCTCTGTCGCCTTAACCGCTTGGTACCTAGGTAGCCCTGTATAAAACTGTGCCCTCAACATCAAATCCCACAGCTACTGTACATAGAATACAGTCCACGCAAGCCGGGCCGGCAAATAAAGCATGCAGAGCCGATGAACTTTAGTGACCGCTCCCCAAAGAGCAACACCATCAGAATAGCCGACTCAACTCCGGCGCCGCGTCATTTCATGCCTGATGTAACCGCCAAACTGTGCATGGACGAAGGGGGGTATGTATGATATGCCTCATCATGTCCGAAAAATCCGAATGCGTTTCCCTCTCGAAAAGTACAAGGACCGCGATGTCGATTATTGACGAGCGGGCTGAGTAGTCGATGACGATTCCGCTGCGGCCTCAGAGTCCAGACGCTCCTGCTCCAGAACTTCCTGACCGTTATCCGACGCCCACATATCGAGGTAGTCATTTCCGCTGAAAGCCCGCTGAAGGGTGACGATTCTTCCGTCCTTCTCGATTTCTTTCGTGTACTTGGATTTCGTGGGAGGCATACGCTTGGTCACGAAGGGGGTCAACTATATCATACATATCCGTGTTAGTATTCCAACCCATGGCCAACAGTCAATTGCACATTATAGAAGGTATAATCCCACCTTGAACTGATCCAAGTTTTCAGGCACAGCGAAAGTGCGGACTTTTTTCCAATCGATCACATATGACCCGTTCTTCGCGAAGTAACCCATCGATCCGGTCCGGTTACCCTTGTAGTAGCCACCAAGGACCTGTTTCGTGGTCAGGCGCAAGCGCGCCATCATGGGCTGCGAGGGCTTGAACATGGTGGGCAGGCAGGGAGGCAATTGACGGTCGGTGGGTTGCGGAGGTAACAAGACGGAGGAGCGTTGGACAAGATGTTCGGGGAAGAGACGATAGGAAGGCTCTTTCTGGGCGGCGCTAGAGAGAAGTAGCTCCGCCCCGCCAAGAACTTTTTTCGTGGTCCGCATCGGAAAAGTAAAAAAATCAACGGCTGCATCTTGACAACTTCCTGCGGTGCGTGGTCGCCATTCAACCTGTTGTTTCTTTCATTTAATCTTCTGGGATTTATTTGAATAGATTTTTTATTTACATAGATCACAGCTCAGGAGCTGCGACACACGCCCATCATGCCTCGCAGGCAGACGCAAATGCGCGGTCCTAAAGACCGGGACCAGTCCCTGCAGAAGTCGAAGCAGCCCGCACCCAAGAACAAGAAGTCTGGCAACTACCTGAATGCTTTTGCTATCGCAGAGAGCGAAAACCCCGGAAAGCTGGGCGTTAAGCGCACCCGTCTGGGCAAGCAGGACGAACCGTTCAAACGCAGGCGACACAACCCTCAAGATGACGACGATTCGGACGGCCCGGACTACAGCAAGCGCCGTCGCACTGAAGACGATGAGGCGGAAATGGACTCGAATGCTGGTAGCGATGGCGAAGGACACCGGTGGAGGATTGGTGAGGTCGGTAGTGACGATGACAGCGAGTTGGACAGTGACGAAGCCATGGGTTCCAGTGATGAGGAAAGGTTCGAGGGTTTCACGTTCCGCGGAAGTTCTACAATGAAAAATAAGCCGAAGCAGAAGGCCCCCGAACGCAAGAAGCGCACTCGCGATATCAACTTGTCCGAGGACGCCGAAGTATCGGAGGAGGACGATCTCGAAGACGACTCTGACGACCTCGGAGAGGATGCGATAGATTTGACTACGGCTTGGGATATGAACATGGCAGAGGAGGAAGAGGAAAAGGCTAAGAAGGCCAAGTCTAAGTCTAAGCAATCGGCTGAAAGCGATGAATCGGAAGAATACGACTCTGAAAGCGAGGACAGCGACTCTGACGACAATGACGATGAACTGCCATTATCGGGAGACGAAATGGACGAGGATGAGGTGGATGAGCATGGTATTTCCAAGCTACAGGACTTTGTCAATGCTATGAACACCGAGGGTACCACGAAGACGGCTCGAAAGACAGGCGGAAAACAGGAACATGGGGCCCCTACGGAGTTCGGTCTGACTTCTACGAAAAAACTCACTATTGCCGATCTTTTGCCTTCTATTACAGATTCTCGCCTGAAGAGTTCCCTCAAGCATGTCGACGCTGCTACAACCTCAAACAAGAAGACGTCCGGTGTTCCTGGCAAGCTGGATGCGCCTCTTGCAAAACGCCAACAGGATCGGCTGGACCGAGCGGCCGCATATGAGAAGAGCAAAGAGACTCTTGACCGCTGGCTGGAGACTGTCAAGGCCAACCGCCGAGCCGAGCACCTTATGTTCCCTTTGCCTGATCCCGAAGCAAACCAGACACACCGTATGGGCGCTGCTGAGCCTCGAACCGACCTTGAAAGCACCATTCAAAATATTCTTCAGGAGAGTGGACTCACTGAAAACAACGGAAAGTCGGCTGAAGAACAAGTGCAGGAGTTTGAAGAACTCCAGGCGCGGAAGCTGCCTATCGAGGAGATCAGGGCCCGCAGGGCGGAACTACGGAAGCGTCGTGATCTGCTCTTCCGGGAGGAAGTGCGCGCCAAGCGCATTAAGAAGATTAAGAGCAAGTCATACCGTCGTGTGCACCGCAAGGAGAGAGAGAGGCTTGAGCAACAGGAACGCCAGGCTCTCCTAGAAGCCGGCGTGGACCTGGATGAGGAGGAGAAGGAGAAGAACGATCGTCTAAGAGCGGAGGCCAGAATGGGTTCGAAGCACAAGGAGAGCAAATGGGCGAAGAGCCTGAAGCAGACTGGTCGGACCGCCTGGGATGAGGACGCTCGACATGGCACACAGGATCTTGCTCTACGGGAGGAGGAACTACGGAAGAGGATCGAAGGAAAGCGTGTCACCAACGGTGATGAAGACTACCTTGGCTCGTCTAGTTCTGAGTCCGAAGATGAGGACCCATGGGATGAAGAGGCTGGGTCAGATGCTGAGAAGCGCAAGATCCGCCAGAAGCTCAGTCAGCTGGAAGGCGACGATGATGCGGACGCAGAGTTCAAGGGACCTCATGCCAAGCTCCTTTCGATGAAGTTCATGCAGAATGCGGACGCTGCGCGTAAAGCAGAGAATGATGCTGAAATTCGACGTCTCAACCGGGAGCTCCACGGTGAAGAATCGCAGTCTGAGGCGGAATCCGAAGTCGGTCGGCGAAAATTCGGTCACAACAAGGAGGAGGCGAAGACAGCAAAGGAAACCAAAGCGAAGCTGCCTCGGAATGAATTCGAAGAGGCACCGGGTTCTGACGATGAGGATCTGCGAGAGGCGGATCAAGAGGTCGACATTGTTGTTGACCGTCCCGCAAAGAAGGGACCGGCCGTCTCCCAGAACAAGTCCCGTGGTCGTCCTCAAAAGGAAGCCGCAGAAGAAGATGGGGAAGATGCTGCTGCTGCGGAGGAGAACCCGTGGCTCGTGCAGACGAACCGCAATAACCGTCGCGCCAATGTGAACGACTCACAGCAAACTGTTGACATCACGCTAGATGACGCGAATGTCAGCAGTGGTAAATCGAAGAGTGCTCCCAAACCCCAAAAGGCATCGGCACCGAGCAAAAAGAAGGTTGATGCCGAGGTGTACGGTAGCGATGAGGAGGAGAGCGTGCCAGTGCTTCTCAAGAATCATGATCTGGTGAAGAGGGCTTTCGCGGGCGACGAAGTCGTGCAGGACTTTGAGCAAGAGAAGTTCGACACCATCAAGGAGGAAGACGATCAAGTGATTGACAACACCCTCCCCGGCTGGGGTAGCTGGGCCGGTGATGGCATCAGCAAGAAACAGCAAAAGCGCCAGAAACGGTTCCTCACCAAGGTTGAGGGAGTGAAGCCGGAAGACCGGAAGGATGCCAAGCTCTCCCGGGTCATCATCAACGAGAAACGGGTCAAGAAGGTAAGAACGACGATCAGTCGGGCTCTAGCGCGTGTGATCCTTAATTTGTGCATGATGAACTAACGCCTGCTGTTTTGTCTAGAACACCAAGTACATGGCCACGCAACTCCCTCACCCCTTCGAAACGAAGCAGCAGTACGAGAGATCGCTCCGTCTGCCCATCGGTCCTGAGTGGTCTACTAAGGAGACTTTCCAAAATGCAACCAAGCCACGCGTGATGATCAAGCAAGGTGTCATCAAACCGATGGAAAAGCCCATGGTTTAATGTATGTGGTGGTCTGGCTACTACGAGTTGGCAGTCATGATGGGTATCTGGGTAGACGAGAGCAAGGCATCTTGCCTGCCTGGGGTCTTTTGGTGGCGTTATTGTAGAATTAAGTTTGGTCATGATACCAAGTCATTTTAAAATTTCCCCGAACGATGGGTTTATTGGTTTAGAGGCTGCGACTAGAGGGTTGTCAAGGTGATGATTTTGTGTCATCCCCGCATCAACCGGATTGTTCGTAGCATCCGATCTGCAGACCAGCACTGGTTTCAAGTTATTTTAGTGCTGGGCCCTTTGTGCAGGGCATTAGTCTCCGGGGTTGGTCACCCCCCAATAAGGTTGTCGAATAAGCAGTGTTTTGGATCCAAGATGATCAGGTCTGGTGAGTCCCTGCACCGTGATACTCTCTTTTCCTTGAATGCAGGCCACATGGACATCGAGATTCGGACCGACTTGGGATCCATGGAAAGGAGCAAGCCACTCAGAGAGTGAGTTGCGTCCCTTGCAACGACGACTGACAGGGCGGAATGCCACGACGGGCGTTGGCTGGGAAAAATCAGAGATCGAGCATTCAACAATCAAACTAACGAAATTTACTTTTGACCTTGGCGTATGGGTACATTCCTTGATGCCTAGGGAGCATACGCCTCTCAGACCAGGTCTAGGAAAGGTAACCGTGATATGGAGAGAAAGCCACAGAGTCAAGTCAAGAACCATGAGACACTCGAAGCCCGGTCGCAAAGCTGGTCGGACAGTATACAACTTTGTCCTTTGGTCAGAAGGTGAAGGAGGAGAAAGTACGTAGTTCTTGGGGAAGTATATGAGGCATGGGGGGGATGCAGCAGTAAACCATCGATGCTCCACTTGTTCTTTCTGGTTTACCCGCATCTTACAAACAGAACAGCGACACCATCACCCGTCCTTCCACTCTCCCTCTTTCTCTCCTCTCCCTTCAAAACCAACTACTAGTTTTATCTGTTCACACTAGTAATTCTCGTCCACGACACCATCAACAGTCAATCAATCAATCATTTGGCCCTCCATCGGTTAATGCAAATTAATTTCGATTAATCAATCTGCCCCCCCTTCATCAGCTGTCTTAATCATCCGGCTGCAGTAAGCTTCCATCTCCCCTGCACATACCCGCCCGACTTCAGGCAGATGGCGCTCTGCATGCACCACGGCTTGCAGAGCCCGAGGATGGTGCATTCCACCCCCCTCAACCCTACATTCCCCGTGCTATGTTTCCGTTATGCCTCGAGGTCTGGGATCAGACACCACAACATTGACCATTGTGCAGATCGACGCCTCGTAATACCTCCGTTGGCACTTGTTCCAGCCCGCCAGTGTTCGTCTGGTATCCTTCTGCACCGGGGCCGGAGTTTTGCCCGGGCCTGAGATTCCTACTGGCTGAGACCGGAATCTATACTCGAGCTAGGTGAGCTATTTCACTGCTATTTGAGAAATGTCTTCTCCCGCTCGATCTTCTCCTGTTGTTTACTATCCTTTCCCATCCCTTCCTCATATACTGGAGCCTGTCTGTCGAGTGTTCCGTACACTCGAATATTATTATATACGAAAGGAGACTTGGGAGATCCAAACTTGGATTGTTTCTCCATCTCTGGCTCCTATCTTATATTCTTCTTAATGATTCCATTGCGGTCATTGGTGCTGTTTTATTGCATGTTTTGGTCCCTCTCCTCAACCAACCCCACTGGCTGGTCACTTTGATATATATAAGCCTTTTGGCCTTGGGACGCGTGGCGGAGCTTGGACCGTCTACTACACATTTTATTTTCTATATTTTGTCCGAAAAACACGGCACAGATCTTCACAATGGAGAGGAAACACAGATGGGGCTCTTCATTCTTACTAATGTGGCTTCTAGCTGCAGAAGGAGTATACTCGGCGCCGAGACAAACTTCTTCAGCTGCGTCTTCGAAGACGCAATTTCCACCGGGTGCTGAAACTGAAAGGGTACTAGCGGGTACAAAAGGCGTAAGTGCCGAATGGCCAGACTATCATGGAGTTGGTTCTAATAACCATTTAGTTCTATCCGACCAGCCTTGAGCGCGAGGGCCATCCGGTGCGCCCAGCCCCGACATCCACAGGGAAGGATAAAGACCCCTTGGGGCTTGATGGGCTGTTTGATGCCCTGGGAGATACCGCAAACCTCCCAAACGAATTATTGAGCGAGTTTCTACCGGGCTGGGATAAGAATTACCCAGTGACCGTACCGGTATCAGCATATAAACCGGCTAGTGCGGATACAACTACTTCATCTACAAAACCACAAACGGAGCCAGAGACTTCTGAGACCTCCACGGCGGAAGCTCCTAGTCAGAACGCCCCAGAGGCTACAACCGCCGCCACTTCTCAAACCAGCAGTCAAGCATCCAGTACAACAAGCGTGACCCAGTCCTCAAGCTCAAGCTCAGCGAGCCAGGCCCAGCCCTCAAGCTCAGCAAGTCTGACCACGACCGCAAGTCAAACAACGCAAGCCGAGAATTCAATTACTTCATCTGTTGTGCAAGGTAAGAACTTTCATTGGGTAAATGTCTTATAATTTCTAACATGCCTTGGCCTTAGCCTCAGTTACATCAATGTCTGGTCAGGACGTCTTTGTGCCATTGGCGACAGGTCCAATCCCGCAAACAATTACAGCGCGGAACGATCATCCTGTGCCTAAGAAAGGAATTGTATGTATTTCCGTGTTCAAGATGTCATAACTTTCCTAACAAGCACAGGAAAATGTCACGACACCGATCGAGACAAACAAGTTCTACGCTGGACTCTTCCTAGGTTCGCAGACCAATACTACTTTTACCCATCCCTATGGTGTGTCATGGGCGAAAGGAAGCGGGAATGCCCAAAGTTATGGAATGGCCATCTCCCACAACGAGGTTAATGTCGTTGCAAATGGCCCCACCAACACCAACATTCCTGGCAATCCAATCCAGTATTACATCAACCCTATTGGCATTCAGCATATGATTCTGTCGGCCACAGAACTGAATACCTCGACTGTGCTGACCGCCGAAAATCTTCTGCCATTCTCCGCTGACGCTGTTCTGAGTCCCACTCCCGGGTCAAGCCAGAGAATTACCATCCCTCTGGTGCAGGGAATGGGCTTCGTCACGGGCATGTACAACAACCTACAGCCCCTGATCCAGAGTGGTGTTTTCTTCAGCAAAGTCGTCACGGCTTCCTCGCCCCGGATTGGCATCTACAAATACAAGGTGTCTCTGGCGGATGGAACAGAGTGGCTTGTTTATGCCATTCCTCAGGATGGAAAGGACCCTGATTTCCGCCTGGAATCTAACACTAACTTCCGTGGCCCAAGCGGCTGGTCTGGCACCGTTCAGATCACCAAGAACCCAGCAGGTGCCTCTGGGGAGAAGTTGTTGGACGGCTCGAGCGGCGTCTTTGCTTTGGAAGCTGCTGTATCCGGGTCGGTTCTAAACGGTGCTGGTACATACAATCTGGCATTCGCCAAGACAGGGAAGCAGCTGCAAGAGACACCACTGCTCATGTATGCCCTGCCCCATCACGTCGAATCGTTTGACAACACTACCAAGGGTCGTATGACCAGTATCTCGCTTCGGACAACGACAAAGGGTAATGCAACTGCTGTTGTAGGAGAAACCTGGACAATGCTTGAGCCGAACCTTCCGACCCAAATGGGCTTCGACCCGTGGACTGTATCGTCCGGTAACGTCAACAATCTGAGCGCTGCTGCCAAACAAGTCATCCTCTCTGTGGCACCCACCGAGCTCAACCAAAGCATCGACCAACAGTCAGACCTGAATAGCATGTACTACAGTGGAAAGGCATTGAGCAAATTCGCAACTCTTGTTTACACCGTGAACAAGCTGGGAGGAAACCCTGACCTGGCAGCCTCAGCCTTGCAGAATCTGAAGACCGCCTTTTCTCGCTTTGTGGACAACAAGCAACAGTTCCCCTTGGTGTATGACAGCGTTTGGAGGGGAGTGGTGTCTTCTGCCAGCTATGGAGGCGATTCTGGTGCTGACTTTGGAAACACTTACTACAATGACCACCACTTCCATTATGGTTACTTTATCCATGCTGCTGCCATTATTGGGTCGCTTGATTCGACATGGCTCACGGATTCCAACAAGGCCTGGGTGAACACGCTTGTTCGCGACGCTGGAAACTCGGCCGCAAACGACCCGTACTTCCCCTTCTCGCGCTCATTCGATTGGTACCATGGGCACTCGTGGGCCAAGGGTTTGTTCGAGTCGTTTGACGGAAAGGATGAGGAATCAACCTCGGAAGATACAATGTTCGCATATGCTCTGAAGATGTGGGGAAAGACGATTGGCGATGCTAGCATGGAAGCCCGCGGCAACCTGATGCTGGGAATCCTCCGACGAAGCTTGCACAACTACTTCCTCATGGAGAGTGACAACAAGAATCAGCCTGCGAACTTTATCGCCAACAAGGTCACTGGCATTGTAAGTTCGGGCCTGCCCTTTCACTTTGATCGTTAGTAACTGACATGTGTTGAAGCTGTTTGAGAACAAGGTTGATCATACTACTTACTTCGGTAACAACCTGGAGTACATCCAAGGGTATGCATGTCCTCTATGAGTTTATTCGTGCATCATGCTAACCTAGTCAAAGCATCCACATGCTGCCCCTTCTGCCTTCGTCTCCATATGTACGAAGCCAGAACTTTGTTCGCGAGGAGTGGAATGCACTCTTTTCGGCCAATGCCACCGACCCTGCGTCGAACGTCACCGGAGGATGGAAGGGTGTCTTGTACGCCAACCTGGCCCTGATTGACCCTGCATCTTCGTGGAACTTCTTCGCACAGTCCAGCTTCGATTACAGCTGGATTGATGGTGGAGCGTCACGTACATGGTATCTTGCATTTGCAGCGGGTCAGTATATCCCTCCAGATTCTTAAATGAAGAAGTTGCTAACAACGTCGCAGGCTTGGGCGGAGGTCCTGCTTAAGGACGCAGCATAGCGATGATGCATTTGATATATTTGGTTTGGCATTTTTGATTGTCCAGGACTTCTTTCCTGGAAGATATGCAGCATGTGTTGCTGATATGTTTGGCTGGCGCCGTCTACTATACCTGTTCATATATCCGACTATCCTGTGGACGTAGTGATATAGATATTTATTAATGACTTGATCTACATTGGCATCGACAGCAAAGAAAGAAAATAATCCTTGATTCTTAGCATCGTTGGAAGTTGTACCTCTAATACCGACCGTAACATTTAACCCCGACTATCCCCAACACCGCCACTCAGCCGCGAAGCATAGCCCCGAACACCTTCCAAGGCTGTACAGCCACAACAAGCTTATCTCTCGCGAACACAAAAGTGAGATGTGTCCCAATCACTCGGGCTCCATCAATCCCGCACGTGGTGGGCTGCGTGACCTAGCCTAATAACTAGTACTTAGGAAGTAGTTATGCTAGGCTGAGTGACTAGTCGGGGATGTGATGTGATCTGATAAGTGAGACACCAAGTAATCACTGTGGCTTATGCATCTATCCTAGATAAGTACATACATAAAGTTTGCTAAGAAGGCTGCCTGATGCGGAAAAGAAATACCATACATACCATACTTTTGTTTCCTGTGGCTCAGCTTATTTGAGGAATGTTACTTGAACAAGCCACAGTAATCTATCTATCTCATTAAGAGGGAATGTCGAGGGTTTGGGTAGTAGCTCCATCACTTTGTATACCTAATCCTATCTATTCTATTTAGACTAGCTAATTAACTAAGTAATTAGTCGACACCTTCACTCCATCTCGATAGACTACTACTTAGTATACTGAGAATCAAACAAAGTGCAAACACAGTAATCTGATTGGTAACTGCACCTCAACCGGTGAGTGAAAGTGGGTCAAAACAGCAAGGGACGGACGGGGACGGGAAAAAGGAGTGCACGGATCAAGTTGGGTCTTGCTCTAAGTAAGTACTAGAGTAAGTTCCGTGATCCATCTGGCAACAACATATTTCTTCGAGGCTTGAAGTTTAATTTCATTTCTTTTGGTTTTGAAGTAGTAAGGCAGTTAACATGGCTGGATGGATGTCTCAGCCGCTTATTGATTCTGAATACACTGTGTATGTGGCTGTAGTACCCAATCGGAGGGAAGTGCCGTTGGTCGGTAAGTAGTACTTTGTAAATAGTAGGCTACTTGGTTGTATACGAGCATCACAGTTACTGAACTAGGGAAGTGATTAGTAGTTACCTGACGCTGTAATAATGTCATAGTTGGTAAGTAGTTCACTGCTGCTGTCTCGTTTGCTGGCTGTCACTCTTTGTCAAGAATATCTCCGGGCTTTCCAAAGCAAATCCGGCAGCATGTCATGTTGGATGTTAACAACGTGTTGCGATTCTGTGGGATGATCGATCAATCCATGTTGACTGAACTCAGAATTTTGTTGTCAAATCTCCCAATCTTCAAAACCCGACAACCAGCTCATCAATCTTAAACGCAGTCAAAACCAGCTACTTCATGGTCCAGAACTTTGTGAGTAACGAACGAATGAGCATGTTACGTCAAAAAAAGGGGGCCATTCCCCTGAGGGTGGGGCCTGATCGTGGCAGTGCAAAATGCATAGTTGAAACTAGTGAGTGGGTTTTTCCACCATCATCCGGTGTTACGGCAGTCCCGGGAACATGGTATGTTTGATCAGTAATCTATTTATTCATGATGAGGGACTCTGTCACAGTGGTGATTTGAGATCGAGGAAGGATGCTAGGTAAGTAGGTAGAATTATCATGCTGACCTCTTTCTTAATTTATTAAACTGCATTAGGTATCAAATTCAAGTGATTGAAGGTGGCTGGAGCTGGAAGCATCAGACCCACTCGGATTAGTCCGGGAGCTCGAGTCTCGTCACAAACAGCCGATTCCTGCTGCTGCTTTCTCATCCTGCATCGGGTGGGAAAGGAAAAAAGCTCAGGCTCTATCGATCTATCCTCTGCATTAGTCTACATCACCATTACCCGGCATGGAGAAGCTGGTCCGCACGCTGGTGTCTATCACTCTTTCCACCCAGTAAACACCCAATAATCCCAACTTTTCAGTCCTTCCTTTCCAAACATTCCTTCTCAAGTACTACCACTTCCATTCCCCGGTCGGCTTCGGGCAGTATCCTCTGGTCCCAATTGTCTCCCGCGAAGTGGTCAACGTCATCGTCATCCCAACTCCCATCATTCTCTCGTTTAAAAGTACCCTTCCTGCCCAGAGAGTCAAGTTAAAAAAGATTTCTGACCCGTCCCAGGTAGCATTACGACTGTCAGTCACTACGAGGAACTACTACTTTATTACTCTTCCTCAACTTAGGCCCCCCACACCCTGCCACAATCACACTGGGCAGCTTTCCACACTTTTTCCCCCCTCCATCAATCCCTGGAACGTTGGATGATCTGGATTGAGGCTGTGCAGCTGCCTCCCTCCTTTTGGTCCATCCCCTCAGTCTTTGGTCCACCAGAATTTCCTCATCAACCAATTACCACCGCCAGTGGAACATCCGGAATCGTGATCACTGCTTAGCGACTCTTTCGGCTACCACTAGAATCTGTACGGGTTGGAGTACGTAGCCACCATCTCTTGGCCCCTGTACCTTGCAAAAGTCCCGTTCTTTGGTTCATTCATCACCCTGGGAAAAAAAAAAGCTCAACGTGTGCACGCGTCGCACGGTTCTAGCCATTCCTGATTCGCCGTGTCCAAGCCTGCAAGGTGGCTTGTGCTGTGATAATCCTTTGCTAAGCACAAGCAAAGTACAGAAGAAAGCCTACCCACGCGACAAGCCACAACATCAGACTTGCTCCATCCGATCACGGGGTGCTACATTGGCAACCGACTGTTCAATTCGATTAAGCCCCGTTTCCAAGAGACGACTGGAAAAAACTTTAGATCAGAAGACCCTGTCGCTCATACCCCTTATATCTCTCAACCCCCGTTTGTTGTGGTTCCAGATTGTCGCCACAGGACTGACATTTCCCAATGGGTAAGTGTTAGAGAGTGAGAACCATCGTTCCTTAGCACTCCTCATCCATGTTTCGAGTCCTGCTCCTACCTAATTCTTAATTCCGTTTCCCCACCTCAAGTTTCTTCACATCTACGTCCCTCTTTATTCAGGTATCATTGTCCTTCCATTCGTTTGCATTTTACCTTTTGCTTTTTCACTCTCTCTTGCTGGCTGGCTATGATCGGCACGGCTTGTTGTTTCTTCACGCACACTTGGATCAGTATACTCTGTGGCAGTATATCCGGTCGTTCATAAGCTTTACACTTTCCCCACTCTTTGTTCGTTTAAACTGCTTTGTCGTGTCAACTCGCCATTCCTTTCCTATTTGTTATTCTCACAACACCATCCGTGGCGAATGACGACCATTGCCAGCCTTTGTCTCATCTTTTCACATCTACCCGCCTCGTCCTATTAGGTGCTACGCTCGGTAGACTGGGCTAACAAGATTTCCAACGTGCTTTTACAGCGACCAACAACATCTTCAAGTCGTTTAGACGCTACTCCTGGGGCCCCAAACGGAGAATGACGGGCCTATCATCATCTGAAAATGGTTCCACGGAGCCTGATGAGAGAGCAGCATTGCTCGGCGACATTGCTCGCAGTAACTCCGGCCTCCGTCCGCGACAGCAGAAGCAGCACTGGTCTCACTGGCCGAGGCGTGTGGCTCATTTGACCTGGTCAACTCTCATTCGCGATTATGTCAATGTTCTGCTCATTTTCGTGCCACTCGGTATCGTCTCCGGTGCTCTCCATTGGGACAGCACGGTCATTTTCACCTTGAACTTTCTAGCAATCATCCCTCTGGCCTCTCTTCTGAGTTTCGCGACTGAAGAATTGGCAGCCACCATGGGCCAAGCCCTGGGAGGCTTGATGAATGCCACGTTTGGCAATGCCGTGGAGTTGATCGTATGTATATCTCAAACTCTTGTCTGATGAGTGGTTATGACCCGGCGCTGACAAGCATTGCACGGATAGGTCAGCATCATTGCGCTGAAAGACAACCAAATCCGCGTGGTCCAAGCCAGTATGCTTGGTAGCATCCTGTCCAACATTCTGCTCGTTCTCGGCTGCTGCTTCTTCGTTGGTGGTCTTAAGTACTCGCAGCAATCTTTCAATAGCACAGTAGCGTCGACCATGTCATCCCTGATGACGGTTTCGTCTGCTTCGCTGATCATCCCCGCCACCCTTTACGCCTCTTTGAGTGGCTCCAATGATAAGGAGCAAAGACGTGACAACATCCTGATCCTCTCCCACGGAACTGCCATCATCCTTTTGGTTCTCTATGTGATGTACCTCTACTTCCAGCTCAAGTCGCATGCGGAGCTCTTCGAAGCAGCCAACGATGAGCTCAATGATACAGAGAACCAGGGCGGCGAAGTAGAAGAGGCTGAGGAGGAGGAGGAGGAGCACTTGCTCAGTCCGTGGGCGGCCACTGTTGCATTGATTGTCGTCACGGTCTTGGTTGCTATCTGCGCCGACTATCTGGTTGGAAGTATTGACAGCATTGTGACGAAGACTGGCATGAGTCGCACGTTCATCGGTCTGGTTCTCATTCCCATTGTTGGAAATGCCGCAGAGCATGTGACCGCTGTTGTTGTCGCCTGGAAAGGAAAAATGGATCTTGCCATTGGTGTTGCCATCGGAAGCAGTCTTCAGATCGCTCTGTTTGTCACGCCATTCCTGGTCATTCTTGGATGGATTATGAACGTGGATATGACCCTTCATTTCCATATCTTCGAGACCATGGCCTTCTTCATCTCTGGACTGGTCGTGACATTCCTGATCCAGGACGGAAAGTCGAATTACCTCGAGGGTGGACTGTGCTTGGGAATGTAAGTTGCTCTTATACTATTATATCTTCACTCGCCTAGGAGCCTTTACTAACCCGTCACAGGTATCTAATTCTGGCAATTGCCTTCTACATCTACCCAGACGATGTCAACGAAGACGCCCTGTTCAACCACTAACATGTTGTTTAATGGGGTTGGGCACTTATTGAGCTGCTGCCTACTAGCATCTCCGCTCACTTTCTCATTTTCTATCTACTTCTTCCTCGTCTCTCCTTAAGGTTGTTTAACTCGAGTATGTCGTTGTAACAAGCGAGCTAGCTTCCTCGGTTGGGCTTTGTACAGACATGCCCGGATGCTGTTCTGGGCATTTTTCACATTTTACTATGGGAGGTGCTTTTGTGTTTCATTCAAGCTGCGGGTCAGTACCACTGTATGCCAGACGGGCTACAATTATGTATTTCAATAGGCCAAGAGCCGAGTTTTCAAAAGTCGCCAATGACTTGTGTCTGTGCTGCAGACCGGAAAACGGGTTAATCAGGAATACTAAAACGCTTTTGTCAGATTTGCAATCATAGATAGGACATTTAACTTAACCTGTCATAAGATGCAGATTTCCTTCCCGTATGAGTTCGTAGTAGATAATGCAATAGAAATCGTCACCCGGTCATCATCACTGTGGAGGCATTCCATCATGTCCGCAATCCAAGGAAATTCTTGGCGGTGGATGACTCAGCCGCGGATGTGGAGAGGAAAATCGTTCGCCGGCCTCCAAGGCAAGAGAGCCAGATTCGGGTCGATGTGACTTCCTCACCTGCCATCCTCCTTGACATTGATTGTTCATTGAGGGCCTATATCACACCATGCCGCCACGTCTCAACCTTTTCACCGCACGGGCGGTCCCCGTTCTTCGTCAGTCCGCCAACAGCTCGGCTGCTTCCCGACGCAGTTTTGCGACCATCCTCAACACCAACCGGCCTTGCGCTGCCTCGACTGGCCATGGCTTGAAGTCCGGCCTGTCGGCTTCCGTTCGGACGCAGAGGAGGTGCAACTCCTCGGGCTCTGATGGGCAGGATAGACCCAAGGGCCCGACCGAGGACCCTTTGCCCCATGTTAGCGAAGAGGCCGCGGAGGTCAGCAAGATCATGGATAAGAAGTGCGATGGTACCCCGGCCAGTCCTGAATTGGAACAGGGAACGCCTATTTCTGAGGTGCGTTGATCCATCTGGGATGCCGTGTTGTAGCTGTTGCTGCTACGGCTGCTTCTTCCGCTGTATCTGGGTCATGTATATTGACTGTTATCTCCGCATAGATCCTGCAACGTGATAAAGAGGCCCTGAAGCACATGCCCAAGGTCATGCAAGACCAGATGAAGCGCCCCTCCGGTAGCCGTTCATTCTCGACGTCCGCTCGCCGCCTGCAGCCAGAACTTCAGGGAAAGGAATTCGATGATGCCTCGGCGTCGGTCGTTGCCAACATGATCTCCCAGGTCAACCAGCAGGCCACAGAACTCCACCCTGGACTCAAGTTCGAAGCGCCCGAGAACCTTCCCAAGACTGAGAACTTCCGCAAGAGATACGAGACGATAGTGGAGCAGTTCACTAAGCTGCTTATGCAAGATGGCAAGCTGAGCAAGGCTCAGAACGTATGTTTACTCTGCAGAGGGAGTTTCTCTTATTTGAAAGGATTAATACTGACTGGTTTTTTTGGGTTAGACTATGGCATTCATTCTGGATCACTTGCGCACTGCTCCTCCCCCGAACATCAACCCCCGGCGCCGTTTGCTCCCGGGCCCTCCCGCTCCTCAGCTACCTCTCAACCCCGTCCTCTATCTCACCTTGATTGTCGACTCTGTCGCGCCTTTGCTCAAGCTTCGTCAACAGAAGGGTATCGTTGGTGGTGGTGTGTCTGTGCAGGTCCCTTCTCCTCTCGCTCTGAGACAGCGCCGGAGAACCGCGATCAAGTGGATCATTGATGCCTCTGACAAGCGTAAGGATAGTCTGTTTGGCCAGCGCGTGGCTAATGAGTTGGTTGCTGTTGCTGAGGGCCGCAGTGGAGTGTGGGAGAAGAGAGAGCAGGTGCACAAGCTTGGTGTGGCTGGCCGTTCTAACCTTGGATTGGTTGCGCGCCGGAGGTAATGTACTTATTCTAGCTTACTTGCGTGAGGGATGGAGAGAGAGCCATCCCTACTATGATGATATCAGAGGGCGTTAGGCTACATTGTACCTATGATGGTATGCAGTAGGGGAGCTAGAGAGATGGATGGTTGGATGGTGTTGTATATTATCTGAAACCTGTACCTCATTTCCTTTGACCGTTTTGAAAGCATTTGGATTAGAAAATTTACGCATAATTGATTCAAGAGGAAATATCTGACTACTAGTTACTACTGCTAGTTTCTAGCCTAGTCTAGCTGATGTGAGAGGGAGTGATGCGACTAATGAAGTCCTCGACTTTGGCCACGAGCCAATGGCACGGGCGATGACTAACAGCGCTAGTCGCGGCTGGGACCCTCTCCAATTCTGGCCAATTCTGGTCCCCGGAAAGCAGCTTATCTGTAGCTTCACCGATCCGCATTGCCTGCCTCCTCGCGATCTGTAGGATGCACTTCATCTCCTACAGGCATCTTTCCATTGGCGTGTTAAGCGGTATGCTTCATTGACAGCTGGATCAGGTGCAATCCCTGTTCTAGACGCGTGGGGAAGGAAAGTCTGACGCCGATCGGGTATAGTACTAACTACTAACTATTCCTGCTGGCGTCCCCGTGCTTCATTATTCGTCCTCCCGATAACGACCAACGCACTGCAGATAACTACCAGGCTAGTATACACGACCATCAACTAGCTAGCGTTAGCGGCACGACTTGAGAACGTGGAACGTCGCCCATTCAACACCCTCGCACAAATACGCTGGACAGTTTCCGGCCGCTGTCTCTGCTGCCCCGCTCTTCCCTGCCTCTTTTCCTTCCTGTCCAACACCGTGTCGTCGAATGCCGGCGATCGAACCTGGGCACGCATCGCTTCTGCGAGGGGTGCCTCTCCCGACGATAACGACGTAACCCCAAGCGGCCAGTCCTTCGAACTCGGCCAGTATCCTGACACACCTGCCACAACTGCCCGCCAGTCTCACGCGACTCTTCCTCCTACCCAGCTGACTGACCCGGGGTCTGAATTTCCTCCCTACCATCGAACAGACCACCGGGAAGGTCATCCTCAGAAGTCTACACCGCGGGACAAACCGGTTATCATCAAATATTGGATAGAAGCTCTTCGTCGTCACCCTCACCGCCACCAGACTAACGGTTCCGCCGACAAGATGAAGTTCTCACATAGCATTCAGTTCAATGCGGTGCCGGACTGGAGTGCTTATTATCTGGCTTACAGCAATCTCAAGAAACTGTACGTCTACCCTCTCTCCCTCTCTCTTGTCCTCCGCCGGGGGAATTTTCTTCCTATATTGCGAATGTCACATTACACTCCGAAAGTGCCTGTTACATTGGCGGAAACTCTCTCTGTTGAATGGATCCCTCTAACTGTTGTCCAATGTTCAGGATTTACTCCTTAGAACAGGAAGTGCATCGATCGGCCGGACATGACCATGTAGATGTTGAACAAGCGCCATTGTTAGATGGCGGCAGTGTGAACACTGATGCGATATTTCGTCGGGCTCTGGATGCAGAGTTGGACAAGATCTGCTCGTTTTATCAATCCAAGGAGGCGGAGATATTTACAGAGGTCGAGGACGTCCTCAGAGATGCCGAGGAATATGCGCACATGGCCGATACGATGAATGTCGATCCCATGAGTGATGCCATGATCAAGGGTCGCACAGCCAGTTCAAGCTCCAGACAGCGGCCTGGGAGCATTGTTCGTCCGGTGCCATCGAACCAGGAACGGCGTCATAGCGCATTCAGTGAAACACTGGCCGATGATGACGATGACGATGCAGACAGTGACGACGAACCCGCGCATCAGTATCGACCGCAGTCGCATGGCGCCGAGTCTAGCAATCCGGATGGTAGTCGTACGGACGACATGAGGGATTCTGTGCTCTGGGGTGCCGATTCTCGGATTCTGGGCTACAGCGGTCCGTCCACGCACCGCGGGGGTGCACACGACGAGCACTTTTCAGATCCAATTGTCGTAGATCTCTATAATTCCGGGCTCTCGCTGAAGAAGCGGGCTGTTGCGACTTATGTTTCCATCTGTGGACTCAAGTCGTACATTCAGCTTAACAAGACCGGATTCTCCAAGGCGCTGAAGAAGTACGATAAGATCCTTGACCGCAATCTGCGTCGGGAGTACATGAATTCCGTCGTGTCTTTGACGTATCCCTTCAAAGACTCTACCATGGAAAAGGTGGATGACAACATTCGCAAAGTCGAAGAGGTCTACGCGAATGTCGTCACCACCGGTAACATTCCCCTCGCCAAACGTGAACTCCGCCTGCACCTCAGGGAACATGTTGTTTGGGAGCGAAACACGGTCTGGCGAGAGATGATTGGTATCGAAAGGAAGGCTCAGGCTGCGAACGTCGGTATTCGCAGGACGCTTCTGGGCGGAGACGAGGACCCTTCCAGAGCTCGACGCCAAGGGGACGAGCAGGAAGTGGTGTCCAAGATGCTCAGGACGCCATTTGGAGTCATCCGAATTCCGCAGTGGCTCTGCAGTCTGAGTCTCGTCACCCTCGTTCTCATCCTGCTTGTCTTTGGCATTTTGTTGTCCGTCCCGATAATGGAGAAGCCGGAACAACAGAATTGTCTGGCCATGCTTGTTTTCGTCAGCTTGCTGTGGGCTACAGAGGTCGGTTTATTCCCTACATCATTCTTCAATAGCTAATCTTGGGGTCTCTCGCTGCAGGTTATTCCTCTATTCGTCACATCGCTACTCATTCCCTTCCTCGTCGTGATGCTCCGTATCATGTTGTCCGACAACAAGCCCCACGAACGCTTAGGCGCGAAGGAAGCCACCGCCGCTGCTTTCAGCGCCATGTGGACGCCAGTCATCATGCTGTTGCTTGGAGGCTTCACCATCGCTGCAGCGCTCTCCAAGTACGATATTGCTCGTCGTATGGCCATGTTCGTCCTGAGTAAAGCCGGGTCCAATCCCAACATCTTGCTGCTCACCAACATGTTTGTGAGCATGTTTCTGAGTATGTGGATCAGCAATGTCGCCTCGCCGGTGCTATGCTACTCGATCATCCAGCCTCTGTTGCGTAATCTGGCGCCCGATTCCAGCTTTGCCAAGTCCCTTGTCCTAGGTATTGCTTTGGCCGCCAACGTGGGCGGTGCCGCGTCGCCAATCGCATCGCCTCAAAACATCATCGCTTTGCAGAATATTTATCCGAGCATGAGCTGGGGGACCTGGTTCTTCATCTCACTGCCAGTGTGCATTCTCTCCATTGTCGCGATCTGGATGCTTCTGGTGCTTACCTTCAAGCCCGGTCGCGAGACGGCCGTCGCCATCCGTCCCTTGAAAGACAAGTTCACAGGAGTTCAGTGGTTCATCAGTATTGTCACGCTGTCAACCATTGCGTTGTGGTGTGGCAGTCATCAGCTCGAGCATATTTTCGGAGACATGGGCGTTATCGCCATTATTCCGATGGTCCTGTTCTTCGGCACAGGTATCCTTAATAAAGAGGATTTCAACAACTTCCTCTGGACGATCATCATTCTGGCCGCCGGTGGTCTCTGCCTCGGAAAGGCCGTCACGTCCTCGGGTCTCCTTCACACCCTTGCGAATGCCATCCGCATGCGGGTGGAGCATCTGAGTCTCTATGGTGTGCTGCTTGTGTTCTCTGCCCTCATCCTGGTCATTGCCACGTTCATCTCCCACACCGTGGCCGCCCTGATCATGCTCCCGCTTGTGCGACAGATCGGACTCGGCATGGATGACCCGCACCCGAACCTGCTCGTGATGGCGAGCGCATTGATGTGTTCGGTAGCCATGGCTCTGCCGACCAGTGGCTTCCCTAACATGAGTAAGTCGCCCTCACTGACAATACCAGATAAGTATGTATGTACTGACAACTCGCAGCGGCCATCATGACCGAGGTACCCCAGACGGGTCAGCGGTATCTGCAAGTTCGTCATTTCTTCACCCGCGGTATCCCCGCCAGCTTGATGTCCTTTGCCGTGATAGTAACGGTAGGATACGGGTTGATGTACATTGCTGGACTGTGAGCTGTTATTACAACATCTTACACTAATTGCTTTGCTTTGCTTTGCTTTGCTTTGTTACTGGTTTACCTTATATGTGGTGGAATGCGAAAGATAATAAGCCTGATCTGAGCTGATTTAGCCACGCGGCGCAATCTGGTCTGGGCATTCTTATTTAGATGGTGCGTTTTTATGGTGGATGTTGCTTATGGTTATACTCGATGGCGATGGTCCCGATCTACTTTCTTCTTTTTTTCTTCTCGTTTGGCTAGATGATGAACGATAGAAATATACCAGATTGAAGCTATAGAAGTAGGAGGAGTAGGCTATGGACTCAATTCATTATCCTGTACTAGTAACTACTGACCATTAGATAGAAATGGTAGTATGATGGAAAGTACAGGTCTGTACAGCGCCATTGACACAGAAAGCAGCTCCTGCACCTGCTCATGCATAAACACAAGAAGTAAAAGAAAGAAAGAAGTAAGCGATATCATCATTCATCAATCACATGATTTAACCAGGAAAAGAAACAACCACAACCAGATCTAGACCGTATCAAGCAACAGTCACATCATGAACATAACATAGCATAACAGAGTAACATATGTATGATGAAGAAAACCACAAGTCGGTCAAGTAGTAATAGTTGTAGTAAGACGAAGGTATCGTATCAAAGCATCATCATCGAAGACAAATAAACAGGAAAGAAGAGTATAGCAGACACCGCGGTGAGACAAACACGAGCGGGATAGTTAACTAATAATGTCCAACGAGACTGAACTTTTCCCAACAAGAAAATCCCAGTTCTCTTTCCCCATCTTCAACACTCTCAGTTCCTATCCGCACGAATTAGTCACGTATGTCCCAATATAATATGTATGTATGTATGTGTATAGTGTAGTATAGTATATCGCTCGCTCGATGTCACGAACTGATGTATATCAGATAAATCATAATAGGGTGGGTACATATATCAAGTTGCAACCCAGGGGATGGCATCAAGGGGAAAGGAAGGAAGGAAAAAAGGGGAAGAAGGGAAAATGGGATAAACATACAACAACCCAAGGGTAAGATCACCATGAATCTTAGCCTTCAACTGCACCTCAATATCCAAATTGAGATCAAGTCTCAACCTCAACTGCTCATCCTTGCCTTCCTTTTCATCCCCGCCGCCGCCTCCACCGAGGATCCCGCCTACAGCTTTGCCCGCACTGCCTGTTACGCCGTTCAGTGCGTTACCTGCTGTGTTTTGCACGAGATCGCCGGCTTGGCCCACGCCGGGGAGACCGCCCAGGGGTCCGCCGTCCTGGCCTTGTTGTTGCTGTTGGGGACGCTGGCGGCGCTGGCGGCGGGGGCGGTCTACTTGTTGGTTGTTGTTGTTGTTGTCCATGTCGGAGTATTCGTCTCTTTGGCGGAGTTTCTGGGGTGGTCGGGAGCGACGTTTACGGTCTTGATTGTTGGTGGGTTGGGGGGCGCGTTGTTCTGGTTCTGGCTCTGGTTCTGGTTCGGAGTCGGAGGATTGGGGTTCTTGTTTGGGTATTTTGTCTTCTTTCTCTTCTTGTTTGGGTTGGGTGTCTTGTTCTCCTTCTTCTTCTTCTTCTTCTTCTTCTTCTTCTTGAGGTTCTTGTTTAGGTTGAGGGTCTTCTTCTTTGTCCTCTTCTTTGGGTTTGTCTTCTGTGTCGTTGTCGTTGTTGTTGTCGGTGTTATCCTCAGGCTTCTGTTCTTGTTCTTCCTGATCACCAGTAGGAGGGTTCTCTTGTTGAGGGGAGGAAGGGGTAGAGGTATTGTTCTCTCCTTCTTGGGAAGGGTTATTGGTAGAAGAAGACTCAGGCTGCTTGGACTGATCAGACATGATGAAAGAAAGAGAAAGAGAAGAGGAGGAAGGGAAATCAACGAGATCTAATACTTCAGCGGCGGTCTGGGGCACGGGGACGTACACTATATAGGGCTCGGCTGGACCGTCCAATGGCCGGGCAATATTTATAGATGCAGGCTGAAACTTACCCGCGGAAATACGCAAGGGAGAGAGAGTAGCGAGCAGAGTGAAAGTAAAGATGAGTGAGGGGGGGCGGAGGCGACGTCAGTCGATGTATGGAAAATAAAAAGAAAAAAGAAAAAAATATGGGGGTGGAAGGATCAAGCCAGTATGTCATTTGTGCCACTCATCCTCCACCTTGCAGGCAAGATGAATGAATGAATGAATGATGGATGACGATGATGATGATGACGTCGTCGCGTGGCTGGAGTTCCCTACTACATCTTAGTACTTACTAGTATCTTTACTTTTATTTTAGTACATCAGAGAATTATTGGAGAGATCGTCGCACTTCGGCCGGGATCGCTAAAGGGCATCGCAATCTTCCTGGGATCATCTTCATCTTCTTGTCTGTGACTGGGCTGGATCCACTATACGACGTCAGTGCACTGACTGGGTTTAGTTGGTCCACCTGAAAGCCTGTCAGACTTTACTTGGTCCCCCTCTGTTTGAATGTTTTACTGGTTTAGTCTACAGTAACTGTCTAATAGGTATTTTCTTTGTCTTCTTCTGCCTTCAAGTTCATGGCAAAGAAATATCCCGGGTATATGGCGACTCGGATACAGTTGCCGCGAGACTTTCAAGGGATAACCGTGGATGCTGGCGGGAGGTTTCTTGGATCACACGTTCGGCCGGCGGCAATGCAGACGAGGGTTCCATGGTCCAAATGTATCACAATCAGGGAATGAGTATCCGAAGTGTCGCGATGGAGGCACGTTATTGATGGTGACACAGACACAACACCTACAGAGACAGAATAGAAAATAGAAAATAGAAAATAGAAAATAGAAAAAAAGAGGGTCCGGGCAACGTGGACATCGATGACGATCACTGGCTCGACCATCATCGGCTGACTTGAGGATCTTCTCAGACACAATGCCGTTGACGATGATGATGATGATGATGATGATGATGATGATGCAGTCATGGTGAAAGTCTTCAATTTTAATTAACTGAAGGGCCGAGCATCATTGGTGAAGGTGTAGTCGCCCAGCCGCTTCCTCCCTGCGCCCACAACGTCATCCTCCCATCCTCCAGCCCTGCACGTTCATTTCTCCACACCTCCAAACAAACGGCCATACATCATTTTCTGGTTTTCGTTTTCTTTTTGTTCTAGAGTTTAGGTTTTTCCCTTCGTTTCCCTCCGGAGTGTACTCCCTTTTTCCAATTTTTGCATGTTCAATTTACTACTATTATTCTCACTGTCTGTCTGTCTGTCTGTTGTGTCCGCACTCCGGCCGACTGACAAATTGCCCCATCCAGCAATCCTAACGAAGACTGACCATTACTTACTTCCCTCTCTTCTTCGCCTCCCGCATTCGGGGTTCCTTTTGTATGTAAACCAAGTCATGCCGCTCTGCCCGCTTTCTGCGAATCTAACAGTCACTTCGGGCTGGTAGGAAATTATATCAATCCCATCCACTACATCTCTCTCACCAGTCACCACAACCCCGCCATCCCATCTTCTCCCCCGTTTACTACTCCATCCCCCACAATCTACTACTAGATCAATATGGCTACCGCTCAGGCTGAGAAACCAGCCACCAAAACCTTTGCTAATGATCCTGATGATGTCTCCGACTACGATTCCGAGGATGACTATTCTGACGACGACACCCAACAAAAGCCTCAACAACAGCAGCAACAACAACAACAACAACAACGCCGTCGTCGTCGTCCCCGGCAGCAAGACCCCAACGATGAAGACGACACCTACTATTCCGATGAGTACTCGGATGACTACGATGACTACGACGATGAAGATGATGACTACTACGACGACGAGGAGGAAGAAGAAGTCCAGGCCATGGAGCGCTACCAGCCCACCACCATCAGCAGCCGCGACAATGTGCCGGCACAACCGATCGCAAACGGCGGTATGCAAGAAGCGGAAGGCAAAACCGGCGATGACTGGGAGGATCAAGACGGAATGAAATTGAAATTGGAATTGAACTTGGATATTGAAGTCGAATTAAAGGCTCATATCCATGGTGACTTGACGTTGTCCTTGCTGTAAGTACTCCCCTTTTTTTCTGCTTCTGATTGATCACATTGATTGCGGCGGCGGGGAATCTGGCCTGCGTGCGGACCAAATGCATGCAATGCAATCAATCAAATCACTTAATCTCGTTCGCTACTAGTACTTGATCGAGATCCGATGGTTGACATGATACCCCTTCTCTTTTCCAGCGCATGATTTCGCCTCTCGCCTCTTGCCTCTTTGCCTCCAGCACCGCTGCATTTCTATCATGTTCACCCGTCTTTTCTCCGTCGCCGAATCCCGAGCGTGTTTGGTTGTCGTCGAATAGAACCAAATCAATCTTCCGGCCGAATTAGTTCAATGGTTCGTTCGATAAATTCCCGGGGATAAGAATGGGTTTCGTTTCTTTTTCTCTTTTCGCCACATTGCTGGCGCGTGTGTGGTTGACGCTCGGTCGGTCGGTCGGGTTCCTGGCGATCGTTGCACTTTTCGTCCATTTCGGCCGGCGCTCGCAAAATCCACTTCATTCCATTCCGTTCCGTTTCCGTTATGACGTTTACGAAAGGACTTTCCTCGGTGCTTTTCTTCTTCTCTCAACAATAGCGGTTGTTTTTCCAAATGAATTGCCTTGTATTCTTTCTTCTTTCTTCATTGCCATTGTTCGGATAGAAGTGGCAACTGCACTTGGGTACTGATGTATGCGATGTTTCTACGTATCTATGGTGATGGTGATGCCGATGCTTATTTTGACCCATCTACTCCATATTTCAGTGTCTGTGCGCACTTATACCTTTGTTGGTATGGTTTGCTTGATCTTTATTTGCAGCTATCTTGACGGAGAATATTCTTTCTCTCCGAATATATACTATAATGTTGATTTGTTAGTAGTGCTTTGTAGATTCTTCTGCATAGCAAGTATCTCGGTATCGCCGACCGCAGATATACGATATTACAACAGTCAAAAGAAAGTGCATATTCGCAAGACACCACGATAGCTATAAATCTGGCGTACGTCAATGCACTAGACTGGAACTACTCCAAAGCAACTGAGCTCACTAACTTGATACCAAATCTAACAATATGCATCGCATACTTCCAATCACACTCAAAATCCTAATCCAGCCTATACGAAATAACCATGAAAAACTGAACATGTCCATATAATACGCTTGCCTATACGAGCCAGAGAGCCCGACGAAAATGTATAATATCTATTTTAAATCCAGATATGCATATGTCGTTGCCACCATACCCTTGCGTAGTGGTACACTGCATGAAGGTATTATCTAGAGTATTGTTGTTATGCTGTGAAACTAGAGGAAATGATTATACCTTGCTTATTATTACAGAGTGTGTCTGTGCATGACTGAAAGAGTATGCCTATTCATCTAGGACATCCGCTACGAGAGATAAGGTCTGGAGAAACTTGTACCTATGATTGATGAATATATTGGAAGGCTCACATTATGAGTCTAAAATATAGTACTTTTCAGACATATATGGAATAGCTAATATAGCCCTACAGATAAAACTTAGGTATATTGTAGTTAGTAACCTTGTGATTCGAGTTCCTCAGGTAGCTTCTATCCGTTGTGAAGGGTTGTGGAACGGTTCGTTCTAGGTATGCTTGATGGGAACTTAACATACTCTCTAGACAAATTAGGCGCTCTTACTAGTAAAATTGTTTAGTCTCAGTACTTCCTTACTCAATGTCACCGCTTAATCTTCCTTCCTGAGAGGGTATCACGAGTTGTTAATCAGAGCTAACTATGCAATATGCTGCTAGCAGTATTTTTTATGTTAATATTATATCAAAGTCTTCATTGGTTTGCCCATTGCTTGTCAGGATTACTGCAACAATAGTCCTCTTCCAGCTTCACTGTTGTTGTTATATGCTGATAGTAAATGGGTATCAAGGCTGTGCTTCGTACATCGGACATGTCTTGACTGACTAGCTTATTGTGGTATACTCTTAGTTCGAAGATCTCGACCTATAGGGGATGGCGGATATAGTCTAGCTATATGATATACTACTGAGTTTCTAGGAAATAGTCTCTGCTCCATGTTATAGCTTGTAGCCTATCTTAGCTATTCGTGTTGAAGAACATTGGAGTAGCCAGCTAGTAATTACTCAGAATGGAGTATCAACCACTACTAACAATGTTAATGTCAATATTGATATAGGAACAACGATATCATTTGTTGGGACAGATATCTCTCCGTCGCCTGGCTAACTAGACGCGATATATCGTTTTTGGTCTAGCGGTTAGTGCTTCGACATCATTTGTGACTCAACGCTAGTTTTCTGCGATAAGGCGACAGGAATGCATGATTGGTCGATATAAGGTAGAAATGCAAGCGCATTCGACCGAGTCGTAATACTTTTCCAGAGTGTATATATATCTTGGTCAGTCAGTGACTACACAGTATAGCATTGCATGTCCATACTTGCATTGAGGCTGTCCAAGACTTGGAATTGGCCGTTTTAAGTATGCTGTTCTTGGGGGAAGGGCCTTCTTCGATGTAATTGATACTGTAGTGACTCAGTAGTCTTAACTGCTAAATTAATATCGCTGGGAGAAATCGCTATACTATGTTGTTCAGTTGGTAATATCCCCAGCGTCGGTTGATTGTGAGCTGCACTTGGGGTTCTGTCGTATACTGGACCTTTGTAACAGATGATGAACTGAAGAAATGCGAATATCATCAGTAGCCCTAATATCTTGGGTTTACACATTGCCAGGATTATGAGTGGCTGCAGTACAGAGAAAACGTGTTGATTCACCGCCAGAAGGAGCAGGGTGCTCAGAATATATAGTGAGACTTTGATTCCATAATATAGCAATGCTAGCACTTTGATAACATCAACATTCGCTAGATCCCATATTTATAGATATACGCAATACATAACAAAACAATATAGTAGAACTCAGAGCAGACAACTTCACGTGTGGCCTCAATATTGCGGAGTGCCAGTTCTTCGGGAAGGGTGAGCCCATCGCGAAAGTGACGATCCCGAGGCACTCTTGGCGGGATCAAAAAGGAGTCTCGCAAACTGCCACCACTTGATCGCCTAAACCCGCGCATACCAGCAGCCATTTCCTAACCACTCATCATATATCAATCGCCAAATCCCACCCGACACAATAAAGGAAGGGGGAAAAAAAAGCAGTCAAGAAGCAAAAATGGCACCAGATCGCTCCAACATCTCCTTTACCATCACCCACATGAACGCCAACCACCAAGACTCCCTAGCAGCCTATCTCCAAGTCTACTGCCATGTCTCGGCGCGCGAAGCCAAATCCGCCCGTCTCGAAGACATCAGCTTATCCGATCTCGTCATCAGCGCCAATGGCACACGCTACACCGTGCCCATCGACCCAGCAATGGGAAGCTTCTCCGAGTCGCGATCCCGCCTGGTAGCCATGCACCAGGAATGTCTTGCGCGACTGGGTCGGTCGGACATCACCATTAAAGAGTATCGGCGGCCAGAGGGGATAGAAATCTTCCTCTTCTTCGTGTTTGCAACGGCATTGGTGGCATTCTCTCGACGTAGTAATTTCCTACCTGGGTCGTTGTTCTACGAAACAGTTGGACTGGGGGCGGTTCCGCCACTGGCGCAACTGTCTTACAAGACACAGCCGTTTGTGATTACGGTGATGGCCGGGTCGCATGTGGTGGAGGCGAGTTTGCTCACGGTGAAGAGGTTGAGGCGGCATGGAGTGCCGGTGTTGTCGTTGGTGTGGTGCGCTTGGGTGGTGTCGAATTTGATTGAGGGGTATACGGTGTGGATGAGGTTTGATCGGATGGTCAAGGAGGAGGGGGCGAAGAGGGAGCATCGGAAGTAATCAGATACGTTGTATGTAATTCAGAAGAACAAACATGTCTATTTACCAGATTAATGAACCACAACACATTGAGACATATTGACATATTGAACTACTACTAACAGACTAGTGTCTCCTGCTCTATTGCGCAGTGGCTTATCGCTTATCGGCTAGTTAGCGGGCATCGACTAGCGACTTACTCATCACATCACGGGACCACACTAAACCAATCCCAGACTAGGGTAGTAGGGCAACTTCCACAAGCGAGCCACAGTGCGAAATTCAACGGAAGCCGACGACAAGCACTCAACTCCTTACGACCAACCCAACGACCCTTGCCCGCTGCGTTCCTGGTGAAGGGCTGCAGGATTAGAGGTGAGTTTGTTGCAATTAATCCGTCGTGATTTCGATCCCTCTCGATTTTTCCCGGTGTCGTCGACGGTCGGTGTGCGCGTGCAATCTACGATCGGTCTCGAATTGAAGAATACATTCCGGGGTATATCGAAGAGGAAGAAGAAGAGAAAGATTATCAGAGCAGGTGTTTGGTGCAAGGGAAATATTAGCGGCGGCGACGACGACGATTGAAAAGAAAGAACAACTCAAAGAAAGATTTTTTTTTCTTCGCTTTCTCGTCCATACCCGAATTCGCACACATTTCCAGCATCGAGCATCGCCACACACACACACACACACACAACGCACAATACATAACAATTCAATTCAAATCGACTCGACAATCGCACGAACAACCATCGACGCATTGGGACAGATTTTTCGAAAGAGGGATTGACAATCACCGACAACAGTCTACTACTGCTATTGCTACTAGCGAGCAATCCCGCTAATACTTCTGCCATCTACAGTCCCCTCGAACAGCAAACATGGGTATCTCACGCGACTCTCGTCACAAGCGCTCGGCTACCGGCGCGAAGAGGGCCACCTACCGCAAGAAGAGGTATGCATGAGTTCCTACTGTCTCTATTCCAGTACATCACACTACGAAAAGAATACGACTGACGCACGGCAATCCAACAGGGCGTTCGAGAAGGGTCGCCAGCCCTCCAACACCCGTATCGGAACCAAGAGAATCCACCTGGTCCGCACCCGTGGTGGTAACCAGAAGTTCCGTGCCCTTCGTCTCGAATCCGGCAACTTCTCGTGGGGTTCTGAGGGTATCTCCCGCAAGACCCGTGTCATCGTTGTTGCCTACCACCCCTCCAACAACGAGCTCGTCCGCACCAACACCCTGACCAAGTCGGCCGTCGTTCAGATCGATGCTGCTCCTTTCCGTCAATGGTACGAGGCTCACTACGGCCAGCCCATCGGCCGTCGTCGCCAGCAGAAGACCGAGACCACCGAGGAGAAGAAGTCCAACAGCGTTGTGAAGAAGCAGGCTGCTCGCTTTGCTGAGCAGGGCAAGGTCGAGTCTGCTGTTGAGCGTCAGTTCGAGTCCGGTCGTCTGTACGCTGTTGTGTCGTCCCGCCCCGGCCAGAGCGGCCGCGTGGACGGATACATCCTGGAGGGTGATGAGCTGGCTTTCTACCAGCGTGCTATCCGCAAGTAAAGAAATCCAATACACAAAAGCGAATAGTTCACGTTGTGTGGTTGTTAAGTTAAAAGGGCTGGATGGATCGGAGTTAGCATTTTCCAGAAAATTAGCTCTGAATTGATGGATGAATCAGATGTTCACACTTCTATCCAGATTAAATATCAC